GCCTTGTTAACATTCATTGATCTGAGTTCAGCGGGTAGTAATACCCCTGAAAACCACCCACAAACATTCATGCACCTAGGTGCAACTACTTATAACTATTTGTGCAACTATTTAGAACTATAGGTGTAACTACTTATAACTATAGGTGCACTTAGTATTGATGCTCTGTGTAAATTTTTACTTGCACCTATAATACATTTTACATGCACTTGTAATACATTTTACTTGCACTTCGATGTTCAATTATTTACGAAAATGCCACCGCATTTTTTTAAAAAATTAGTGTTTTTCATCCATTAGATCTGGACACGTGGACGGACAGAATCCATTCCTATTTTGCGCCTGGGCGAAGCATTCGCACATGAGTGCGATTATATATAGAATCGCACTCAGGTGCGAATGCTTCGCCCAGGCGCGAAATAGGAATGGATTCTGTCCGTCCACGTTGCATGACCATTTTTGCTCCTCCTCCAACAAAACGGTTTAAATTCCATTAAATACAAGAGCATTTAGTTCTTCAATTATGAATTTTTTTAAAAAACTAAAAATAAAAATATAGCAGGTTCAAAACACTTTGTACAAACAATGATCGAAATGCCCTTGTATTTAATGACATTTCTACGATTTTGTTGACGGATTATAAAAAATTTTCATTGATGGGAAATATCCCCTAGGCCTATGACCGTATACCTTCTCGGGATATAGTCTGTACGTTGCAGGGAACATTTTCCGACCTGAACCGACCTCGTAGGATCTCGACCCGACCAAGAAGATAGGTCCAAGGTTTAGCCCACTGGGCGTAGCACACCAGCTTTGGCACCGACTTCGGAGGCTCGGGACGCCTCTCCCGAGCTTCCCCACTTCTACGCGAGAAGAATCATATTCAACCCGATTGATAAACATTATTTTTAGTGTTATTTTTAATGATATTTTTATAGTTAATTTTCAATAATTGATTAATTTTATATCAATTTTATTTATTATTTTGATTAAGTAACTTTGTTAATATTATTCATTTGTAGGTTGTTTTTATTAATTTTATTTTATTATTTGAATTCTATCAGTCTAATAATTCCTTGGTCCTAATTTAATAATAATAATAATAATAATAATAATAATAATCTTAGTAGCATAATAGGAGTTTTAATAAACATAAGACTAATTATAATTGAGTTCTAATTTATTTAAGTTAAAAGAATAATTACTTTTGAGTCTCGGTGGAAGCTCTTTGTGCGGTGATTCAACCGAAGCCGTCAACAACACTGCAAGAGAAGAGGTTCTTCATCGGCTATGGTCAAAGATTCAGAACAAAAATTACGGTGGAGTTTAGTTAAGGAAGCAGTATAAATGGAAGGTTTTTGTGAAGAAGAAGGATCATCAAATTCACCCCGGAGCAATTCTGGAGACGAAGGCGGCGAACCTGGTTCGGCGTCAAAACTTATGCTCTCGGCTAATCTGTCTTCGGCGTAGCAGTTCTGGACAACTTTGTTTCTAATGGCGTCATTCTGCTCGGCAGCAGCACACGTATAGTTCACAGCAACAATACCTTTTTTTTAATTTATGCTTTACTATTGTTATTAGTTTATAGTTTATTTGAGGTAATTCTTAAAAGATGTGCTTTATGAGTTGATTACTGCTATATATTTACATGCATTGCTAATTCATCTTTATTGTTTTTAACTTCTTTCCTTATGGCAGTTCACTTTGGATTACTCTTTGGAAGCTGCAATTGCATGAAACAATTTCATTTGGCTTAGATCTCTTTAATTCTTTTTAGTTGTTTAATTTATTTTGTGTTCTGTTTATTTATTTAATTTATTTTTGTGTTTAATTCTTGAAAGATGATGTTGCATAAGATAATTATTGCAAATTTCTTTATGTTTTGCTAAATATTTTATTCTAGGAATACGATACTTTTTGCTATTAAAACTTCGTATTAATTTGTTTAATTTTGCTAATCAAATTAAGTTTTATCTTTTAATATTAGTTTGCATTTAAGCTGATCGATCTTTTATATTCGCTTTTAGCACTTTTGGATCATTAAAGTTAATTGTTTTATTTTCAATTTATTAAATTGCATCGTACAATTCCCTGTGGGATCGACCCTTGCCTTTGCACGTTATTGCTACAGTGACTCGTGCACTTGCGAGGACATATATTTAAATTGTCCATCAATTTTGGCGTCATTGCCGGGGAATTGTTTATTTTGCAATTTAATTTTTTTTCTTTTCCTTAATTGCTTGATTTTTTATTTTTTGCTATCCTTTCATTATTGTCATCTTCTTCATTTTTAATCTTGCATTTTATTTAAGTCATTTGTCCATTTAAAAACTGCTTTATATTTGTTTTTGCTTTCACTATTCTCTTTATTTAATTTTCTCATTTCTTAACTGCTTGATTCTTTAATGCTATCTCTTTCTTATTATTTTGTTTGTTTTTTCCTTTTTAAGCTTACTCATTTATTTAATTCATTGGTCCATTCTATTTTCTGAAAATTATATTTTCATTCTCAATCACACAACAAAACCAAAATTTGAAAAAATTTACATTTTAATATGTACTCTTTTTTATCAAACCAAAATAATTCTTATAATGATGATTATGTACAGGCAAATTCAATTAATATTTCTAATCAAAGGCCTGTGCATGACCCGTTTTATAATTCTTATAATTCGTGTTGGGAAAATCACCAAAATTTTTCTTGGAATAATCAAAATGATTTTCAGCCAAACTATCCTAATTTTTATTGGGGTAATAATCAAAATAATTTTCAATCAACTCCACCCCAACTTGAAAAACCATCTTTGGAGGACTCCTTGAATGATTATATACAGGCTTGCAATAGGCGATCAGAAGCACATGATCAATGGTTCCAAATGCACCAGATGCAACAAGAAGCTTATGAGCACCAAATGCAACAAGAAGCTTATGAGCACCAGATGCAACAAGAAGAAGAGGGACAACGATTGCAACAAAATGAGGCTTGCTTTAAAAGATTGGAAGCACATTGAGAGCAAATTGCTAAATTTGTGCAAGGACATGTGCCAGGTAAGTTACCTAATCAACCTGAGGATGCTCTGAATGATGAAAACAAGTTAAAAGATAATATCATTTGTCAACAAACTAAAATGATTGAAACATTGAATAATGATGTTGATGATATTGTTGTTGAAAAAGATGAGCCTCAATTGCATAAATCCGATAATCGTTATGAGCCTCTCGAGCTTTATGTGCCCCCAATCCCTATTGATGTTCAAGCAAACAAATTGACCAAAAATGTGCTTGATGAAACTGTTGAGTTTCCAATTTTTACATCTATGAATTTGTCTGCTAGATCTAACCTAGTTTTTGCAGTTAAGGGGTTGAATCTTGCTGAGGATGGTAAGTTGGGTTTCAATAAACTTCAAAAGGAGAATCTTTTAAATGGCGTTGATAATGATGAATGTTATTCTTTTTATTTTCAAACTGCTTGGCTGAATGAAAATTGCACAAAAACGAAATCTAATAAAAAAGGACGCTTTGTCTTGTTTTCTTTCCTCTCACAACATTGGGGACAATGTTGAAAAGAGAAAATTACACTTTTGGTCCTATGACTATAGTGGAGGTGGTAATTTCAGTTCGTGACTTTTAAACTAACAGATTTAGTCCTTTTAGTAAGCTTGACACATTGAGTCCTTCCGGCTAATTTGCCGATAGAAAGCCGCCGGAATTACGATTGGAGTTTTTTATTAATTGTGTGGGAGGGGTAAAATCGTCCGTTCAGGCCATAGAAAAGGGGGGTTAAACGGATTCCCATTTCCCATTTCCCACCTTAATCAACCTCCACGCAACCCTAATTTTGTGTGAAAGTAGCGGGAAGACAGCAGAGAAGCGCGAAGATAGTGTGGAAGAAGGAAGAAAGCGGGAACAAAGAGAACTCTTCACTTCGCCTACTGCAATGCGTAAATCATTGGCGACTGGAACGGTTCTGCACAAAATACGCTCCAACGAAGTAAGTTTGAATAATTTGTAACTGTTTGAATTGTATGAATTTTATAGTGAATGAGTTTGTATTGTTTGTGTGGAGTGTTTTTTGTGGAGTTGTATGGAAGTTAAGCATTTCTAGGGTTTGCCGTGTGGGTTATATATGCATAAAGCATAAAGGAGTTTGTACTCGTGTCTTGTGTCTTGTAATGTGGGGACCATTTTCTGTAGTGGTATGTTGTTTATTATTGTTAGTATGAATTCTGATGAGTATGGGAATGTGTTGTAGTGGTCTGTGGGGACCAATACTACTGTTGTAGTTACTGATTCTTGTCATGTGCATATATAGGGTTTAGGAAACATTGTTGTTATTCTGTGGGGACCATTATGTTTAAACTTTTCGTGCATATACTCTGTTGACTGTTGGCTTTACAGGAGCTGGTGTTGGCCCATTTGAAGTTGTCCTTTTCCATAATGGGATAGTAAATAGGGTTGGTGAAGTTAAATACTTGGGTGGTGATGTAGAACTGTATGAAAGGATGGAAGCTAATGAAGTGTGTCTAGATGTGTTGAAGGATAAGATAAAACAGTTAGGGTATAGTGAGGTTGGTGCCCTGATTTATTGTTATTGGAATGATAGTTTGAAGTTGCTACAATCAGACAATGATCTTATACCTATATTGAATGAGGTCAACCCAAGTAAAATGTTAGAGTTTTGGGTTGAAACAATGGATGAGCAGGACTTGATTGAAGCTGATATGGAAGTACTGAAGCCAGAAAGTGATTGGGAAGATGAGATTGAGGTACAGAGATTGGGGGTAGCTGAGCAGGTTGATGTAGGGACTGGGGATGATGGCCAAGTTGTTGATTTCACTGTACAGGATGATAAAGTAGATGAGCATTTGGATGTAGCTCAAACAAAGAAAAAGGTTTAGAATTTGGATGACATCTTCTTTTCTGACGAGGAGTCAGTAGTGGATTCTGATAGTGATGGTGATGGGGAAAGAAAATGGCCCATATTTAGAGCTGCAACAGACATGAAAGACCCCCATTTCACTTTAGGCATGACATTTGCTTCAAAACAACAGTTTAGGGAAGCAGTTCAAAATTATGCTTTCAATAATGGCAAAGAAATTAGAACTCTAAAAAATGACAAGGAAAGGGTTATTGTTAAGTGTACACAGGAGGGTTGCCCTTGGAGAATAGGGTTGAGGAAAGTAATAGGGTCATATGCATGGAGGATTTTGAACATGGTGGATGAACATGAAGGTTGTTCTTGGGTTTGGGAGAACTCACTGGTGAAATCAACTGTGGTTGCTAAGAGGTGGGCAACTCAATTAAAAGATCACCCAGATTGGATGATGAGAAAGTTCAAAGATAAGGTTTACACAGAGGAGGGATTTTATGTGAGTGATTCACAAGCATATAGGGCTATTTGGAAGGCAAAGAAGATAAGAGTAGGTGATGAGGAAGCCAACTTCAAGAAGATTTGGAGTTATAGAGAAGAAGTCTTGACAACAAATCCCGGGTCTTCATGTCTTGTTAAGTTGAGTGACTTAAAGGATGGAAGTGGGCAGGAAAGATTCCTGAGAATGTATGTCTGTTGGAAAAGCAGCAAGGAAGGCTTCAGGATGTGTAGAAGACTGATTGGGGTAGATGGTTGTCACCTTAAATCTGAAACTGGAGGAATGCTTCTGACTGCTGTGAGTATAGATGCAAATGACTGTATATTTCCATTAGCTTATGCTATTGTGGAAGGAGAGAAAAAGGAATCTTGGATATGGTTTCTAAGACTGTTGAAAGATGATATGCAGATAAGTGATACAGAGGAGGATGAGTACTGCTTCATAAGTGACAAACAGAAGGGTCTAATTCCAGCCTTTGGTGAAGTGCTACCTGGTGTGGAAAACAGATTTTGTGTGAGACACCTACATGCAAATATGAAGGTGGCAGGTTTCCAGGGTAAGGCTATTAAGGATGCATTATGGACTTGTGCTAGGGCAAACACTGTAAATGCTTACACTGATGCTTTGTATAAACTAAGGAGATTAGATGAAGCTGCATACCAATGGTTAGGTGATAAAAGCCCAACAGAATGGTCTAGATCCCACTTCTCTACAAAATCCCATTGCGACATGTTAGTGAATAACATTTGTGAGTCTTGGAATGCCTCTATAATGGAAGCAAGGGACAAGCCTATCATTGAGTGCCTAGAAATTATAAGGAAAATGATAATGGCTAAGTTGTTTGAGAATAGACAGAAAGCTGCAGAATGGAAGTCCTTGATATGTCTTAAGATTGTCAGGAAGTTGAAGCAAATAGAGAAGGCTGCATCTGGTTACTTAGTAACACAATGTGATTTCTTCAAGTTTGAGGTTAGACACTTATATGGGGATCAACAACAAGTAGACCTTGAAAGAAAACAATGTTCTTGTAGGAGGTGGGAGTTGACAGGCATTCCATGCAAGCATGCTATATGTGCTATATGGAAAAAATTTGGGAAAGGTGGAGTGTTTGACTTTGTCCATCCATGCTACTCAAAAGACGCATATCTGAAGATATACAGTGCAAGTATCAACCAAATGGCAGGTCCTGCTGAGTGGCCTAGGTGTGATAGACCACCCCCATTGCCACCCTTGTATAATGCCAAGGTGATTGCTTGATTGCTGACCCTTATCCTTTAACTCTCTGCTGTATAAAAACTGATTTAAATTGTTGGTGCTTTTCAGGTTGGGAGGCCCAAAAAGTTAAGGACAAGATCAGCTGCTGAGTTAACCCAAGATGGAAATAGAGTGTCAAGAAACCACATTCAACTGCATTGTTCTGTGTGTAGGGAACCTGGACATAATGCTAGGAAGTGTCCATCTAATCCTAATAAAAAGGTGTAGTACTAAATTCTGTTGGATTACAATATACTGTGTATAAAACAATTGTAACCTAAACTCTATGTATTTCAGTTGAAGCCAAAAAAGAGGGTCATTTATGCCACTCACCAAATCCCCATCAATATGCCTACAAGAGAGCACCAGAGTGAGGAACAGAGTGGACAAGGGGAACAGAGTGGACAAGGGGAAGGGGAACAGAGTGGATTAGGGCAGCATGAGGTTGATGCCCAGCATGGACAAGGGGAACAGAGTGGATCAGGAGAACCTAAGATGAACCAACAGCCAGGCAAATCCAAGAAGGGAACCAAAGTGAAGCAATCAAACAGGAAAAAGCCATACTATACAAGGAGCAAGACTGTGTTCAAGTCCAAGTTCTTTGGCAACCATGATGACCCAATTGACATTTAGTGAATGGATGTGAAGTTAGTTTGTATGTATGTTTTGATGAAGTTAGTTTGTGTGTATGTTTTGGTAACTGATTTGGCTGCTAAATGATTACAAACTCTTTAGATAGCAGCTTGTTTTGGTCATAATGTATGATAACTATGAGATTATGGTATGCAGTGTTTTGGTCATATGTTAAATCATGGGCTTTTACAGTGTTGCTAAAAGAGTCACACGTTGCTGAATTGTAAACCAAAACAAACCATCATCCTAAATTAACAAAAGAAACCATCATCCTTACATTAACAAAACCAACCATAATTCTTACATTAAGTAACCAAACCATAAATCTCACATTAACACAACATACCATACATCTTACATTACCATGATCCTTACATCACCAACCATTCCACAATTCTAAAATTACCAAAACACATTACAAATACTGAACACTTCTTTGGATCAGTTCACTAGCAAAACCTACAACCAATAATTAGTGCAACTATTACAACAAAAACTGCTACAAACTTGTTCATCCACTTAGAACTACCAACCACTTTCCCATCATCTTTATTACCTTTACGCATCATATTTAATTTCTGTATCTCTTCCTCTTGTCAGTTGATGCGTCTTAGCAATCCCGGAATTATTTTCTTTGAACGATGGCACATTGGAGGATCATACCAATCAATAAATCCACAGCCCACATTACCCTGGATTAATTCAAAGAACATTTATTCAATTTCATTCATACATCCAGTACAAAAATTACAAAAACCTGTAAAAACCAAAACTTACAATAGCACCGGAGCATTGCCAAAATCTACGACCGGGATTTTCATTTGTCCATGAAGTTCGAATTTTCAATTGTTCACCACATCTACAATGGATAATTGGAAACCATTCCCCAAATTCATAGTACTCAGTAGCAGAATTAGAAGAACAAGAAGAATACGAATTAGCCATACCCAGGACGACCTGATGGAGAATGGAGCGTGCGAGTGGTGCGACTGATTTCTTCTCTTCCACTTCGTCTCTTGCTTCCTTCGCTTCGCGTGAGAATGGAGAATGGAACTGAAAACCCTTCTGCGTGAAGGTTAATTAAGGTGGGAAATGGGAATCCGTTTTCCCCCCCTTTTATATGGCCTGAACGGACGATTTTACCCCTCCCAAACAATTAATAAACAACTCCAATCGCAATTCCGGCAGCTTTCTACCGGCAAATTAGCCGGAAGGACTCAATGTGTCAAAAAAAGCTTACTAAAAGGACTAAATCTGTTAGTTTTAAAAGTCACGAACTGAAATTACCACCTCCGCTATAGTCATAGGACCAAAAGTGTAATTTTCTCATGTTGAAAATAAGTGTGGGGAAGGGATTCTACCCACAAATCATAAAAAATTGAAAATTTTCAAAATTTTTAATTTTCTTATGTATATTTTCTTAAACCTTTTTATTTTAAAATTCTAGCATTAGCTTGAGCTTTATCCGTAAGTCTTTTAAATATTCGGTGATAAAAATAATGCAGATTTTTGTCAGCTCTTAGTGTGTATATTGCTTTTGACTAGTTGTTAATTTCTTGTTGTTAATTTCTTTAATTTTATATCTTTGTCAAATCAAAAAAAAAAATCAAAAATCAAAAAACAAAAAAAAATAAAAAATAAATAGAATTTGAAAATCACAAATACCTTTGTGTTCTATACAATTTCTTTAGTAGTTTATATGTATCTTTCACCTTATATTACCTTTATCAAATTCTTAAACAATTCTTGAGTGCTATAAATTGTGGTGTAGTTTGTTGGTTCAAGGATCATCTGTATGGCATAAGTGAGGTAAAAAATCTTTTAAAAAAGATTTGAAAAATATGAAAAAATAAAAATGAGTGTATTATTTATTTATTTATTTTGTTTGCAATAAAGTAAGAGATTCTACTCCGCTGAATCAGCCACATATACACATGTACCATAAATAAATAAATAAGTGTCGTGGTCTGGTTTATGAGTACACACAAAATTGAAAACTCAAACAAGTCTGGCGTAAAATGGCGAGATTTTTGGGGAAGTTCTCTTTGGAAAACGTCAAAATAAAAAAATAATGAGTGAACTTTGGAAGAGACGAGCAATTGCATTTCAATTTTAATAAATGCCTTGATCCTTATTTCCTTCATGCTTTATACCTGCACTGTGATAGAATATTTCTGAATTTGGTTTAGGTTGAATTTGGTGAAATTTTCATATTTTTCTATTGAGTTTTTGTGTAGTTCATATAAGGAGTTTCAGCACACGTTTTATATTTATGTTAGTTGTTAAAGTTTTTAATTTCTAGTCAATATTTTATACATTCTTTGAGTTGGCACTAACTTTGCATTTGTGCCAATAAATTTGAAAGACTATTCGGGTAAAGCTCAGTTTAATATTGGTTTTATTTTTGGTTTAATTTCGAATTTCTTTATCTTTTCCTTTTTAATAATGTCTTTGCTTGAGGACAAGCAAATAAATAAGTGTGGGGAGATTTGATAAACATTTTTTTTAGTGTTATTTTTAATGATATTTTTATAGTTAATTTTCAATAATTGATTAATTTTATATCTATTTTATTTATTATTTTGATTAAGTAACTTTGTTAATATTATTCATTGGTAGGTTGTTTTTATTAATTTTATTTTATTATTTGAATTCTATCAGTCTAATAATTCCTTGGTCCTAATTTAATAATAATAATAATAATAATAATAATAATAATAATAATAATAATAATAATAATAATAGTCTTAGTAGCATAATAGGAATTTTAATAAACATAAGACTAATTATAATTGAGTTCTAATTTATTTAAGTTAAAAGAATAATTACTTTTGAGTCTCGGTCGAAGCTCTTTGTGCGGTGATTCAACCGAAGCCGTCAACAACACTGCGAGAGAAGAGGTTCTTCATCGGCTATGGTCAAAGATTCAGAACAAAAATTACGGTGGAGTTCAGTTAAGGAAGCAGTATAAATGGAAGGCTTTTGTGAAGAAGAAGGATCATCAAATTCACCCCGGAGCGATTCCGGAGATGAAGGCGGCGAACCTGGTTCGGCGTCAAAACTTATGCTCTCGGCTAATCTATCTTCGGCGTAGCAGTTCTGGACAACTTTGTTTCTAGTGGCGTCATTCTGCTTGGCAGCAGCACACGTACAGTTCACAGCAACAATACCTTTTCTTTAATTTATGCTTTACTATTGTTATTAGTTTATAGTTTATTTGAGGTAATTCTTAAAAGATGTGCTTTATGAGTTGATTACTGCTATATATTTACATGCATTGCTAATTCATCTTTATTGTTTTTAACTTCTTTCCTTATGGCAGTTCACTTTGGATTACTCTTTGGAAGCTGCAATTGCATGAAACAATTTCATTTGGCTTAGATCTCTTTAATTCTTTTTAGTTGTTTAATTTATTTTGTGTTCTGTTTATTTATTTAATTTATTTTTGTGTTTAATTCTTGAAAGATGATGTTGCATAAGATAATTGTTACAAATTTCTTTATGTTTTGCTAAATATTTTATTCTAGGAATACGATACTTTTTGTTATTAAAACTTCGTATTAATTTGTTTAATTTTGCTAATCAAATTAAGTTTTATCTTTTAATATTAGTTTGCATTTAAGCTGATCGATCTTTTATATTCGCTTCTAGCACTTTTGGATCATTAAAGTTAATTGTTTTATTTTCAATTTATTAAATTACATCGTACAATTCCCTGTGGGATCGAACCCTTGCCTTTGCACGCTATTGTTACAGTGACTCGTGCACTTGCGAGGACATATATTTAAATTGTCCATCACCGATCAATCCGTCTTTGGGATCAGCTAGTCATAATACAACACGTGGACGCCTTCAAATAGTCCCTGGGACACTCTAAATGCATGTGGAACACGTGGCACACATTTTGGACCATCGGCATGTGCCTCCTCAAAACCCTTATAAATATCAACATTGAATATTAATATTCAGCATATATTTTTCAAAACACTTGGATGACCAACCAATCGCCAAACACTATTGGAAATTATGAAATTACCGACCACCTAAAAGTGATCTTAAATCAAGTCGAAAGTCTTGTTCCGACCACTTTTGGTATCCGGAAAAACCTTTGTTGCTATTTCCGACCACTTTTTACTTTCAACTTGATTTAAGATCACTTTCAGGTTGTCGAAAATTCCATAATTTCTAGCAGTGAAAAACCACTTACTTTGTAGTGTAATTTTAAATTCTTACTCTTTATTATTATTGCTATTGTTATTATTG